TTGTAGCTACTAAGGGTAGATTCCCTGCTGGTTTTGAAAATTGGCGAAAGTAAGAACCTCAGGGCTTATGCCAAACGGTATTATGAGGTGTTCAACCAAATACCAGCATGTAACCAGGAGTTTGCGGTCTTATCTTTCCAAAACAGCCTAGAAGACAAATGCCTGCTATGACAGTCACTTGCAAGAACTCTACCAAAGAGTATGGAGGAGCTCATGGCACGAATTGAGAAATATGCTAGAGTAGAGAAAGATACGCAAGGAGCAAAGACACCAAAGCAGGAGAAGAGAAGCAGCTCGCCGAAACGAGGCCGAGGTAATTCTGGGTTTAACAAGTAAGAGACAAGGTTGAGGGCTGCACAGGTAGTCACAACTATATTCAAGATCTTGATCTACAAAGTTCTAAAGAGGATAAAAAACCAGCCGTATTACAAAGCCCCAGAGAAGGTTCATAGCGAATTTATGGGAAAAAGTATTGAGACGCATTGTGCTTACCACAATGAGAAAGGGCATTTGACAGAAGGATGTAGGGCCTTGAAAACACACTTGGAGGATCTGGTCAAGTAGGCTCACCTGAGGGACCTAGTGGATGAAGTCAGGACTAAAGAGGAACATGTCAGGTTTCCCCCAGCACTAGCAGTGCCACCTCCACCGTCACCGCAGCAGGCAGATGGACCTCGGGTGATCAATGTGATTCACTCAAAGGCCAATGAGAATGATGTACGAGGGGAAACTCAGAGGGTGAGGCACTTACAGCATGTGTATCAAGCCCAGTAGAAAAGGACAAGGACAAACGAATACGAGGGACCAATAGTCTCTTTTGCTAAGGTAGACTTGGACATGGTACAACATCCACACAACGATGCCCTGGTGGTAACCCTGAGGATTGGAGAGTGCCAAGTGAGACGTATACTGGTTGATCAACGCAGTTCTTGTGACATCATATATGTTAGATGTTATAAGGAACTCGGCCTCCACCCAGACGACCTGGAGAATTCCAACGGCCCTATGATCGGGTTCATTAGGACGCTGACGTGGCCTCTTGGAGCTGTGAGTATAAAGGTGCAGGAAGGTACCAAGAATGTGAGCACAGAGTTTACAGTCATTGATACCCCCTCCTCTTACAATATTTTTCTGAGAAGACTGTGGTTACATGCAATGAGGGTTGTTCCCTCAACGTTGCATCAACTGTTGCGATTTCCAACTGAACAAGGGATTGAGGAAGTCAGAGACGATCAGGTCCAAGCAAAAAATTGCTCCATGGTGGCGATAAAGTCCACTTTCAATGTGTGAGAAGTAGAAACAGTGGAGATTGAAGACGAAGACAGGGAAGTCCTTGATGATGTCGGCAAAGAACCAACCAACAAAAGTGAGAAAGCTCTAAAAAAGAATCTGGTACAAGAAAGAGATGAGGAGCGTTTCTTCCTTCTCAGCTCAGGCTTAGCTGAGGAGGAGGAAAAAGAGTTAAAGACTTTCTTGCAAGCAAACATAGAAGTGTTTGCCTGTACGCCCTATGAGAAACCTGGCATTGACCCCAAGGTCACTTGTCATAGGCTGAATGTGGACAGGTCAGCTAAACCTATCATCTAACGAGCTAGGAGGCCGACATTATTACATGTGGAAGCAGTTAAGGAGGAAGTGGATAAACTGTTGAAAGCCTGGGCCATTCGGGAGGTGAACTACCCTACTTGGCTGTCCAACACAGCAGTTGTGAAAAAGAATAACATTAAGTGGAGGGTTTGTATTGATTTCACCAACCTGGATAAAGCTTGCCCCAAGGACAATTTTCCACTCTCCAAAATCGATCAGTTGGTAAATGCAACTTCAGGGCATAGGACGATGAGTTTCCTAAACGCATACAGAGGCTATCACCAGATAGCAATGTACGCCCCAGACGAAGAGAAGACAACATTTATCACCCCAAAAGGACTCTATTGTTACATAGTGATGCCTTTCGGGTTGAAGAATGCAAGAGCAACCTACCAGATATTAGTTACCAAGATGTCTAGGCATTTGATTGGGAAGACGGTAAAAGTTTACATCGATGAGATGGTCGTGATGACCAAAGAACCTGGGAACCATTTGGTAGACTTAAAGACAGTTTTTGATATCCTAAAAACATATCAGCTCCGACTCAATGCTTTGAAATGCGCATTTGGAGTCGGGTCTGGTAAGTTCTTGGGATAACTGGTCACCAGAAGGGGCATTGAGGCAAGCCCAGATTAGATCAAGGCTATTCTTAACTTGAAGAGTCCGACGTCGGCCAAACAGGTCTAAATTTGACCGGCAAAGCAGCTGCCCTAAACAGATTTATTAGCCAAAGTTCTGATAAGTGCAAACCATTTTTTAATTTGTTGAAGAAGGCCACAGATTTCTTGTAGACAGAAGAATGCGAATACCTAACATCTCCAGTTTTGTCAACTCCAATACCTGGAGAAGAGCTATTCCTATACTTGGCAGTCTCAAATCATGCAGTAAGTGCAGTGGTGACTCGAGAAGAAGAGGGAGAACAGAAGGTGGTATACTATGTAAGTAAAACGCTGGCAAGTGCAGAAACCAGATACCTGCTTTTAGAAAAGTTGACACTAGCCATGGTGATGGCCTCGAAGAAGTTGAATCACTACTTCCAAGCCAACAAGGTTATGGTGTTAACTGCGCATCCCCTGAAGTCACTGTTGCAGCATGGAGATTTGACAGGTAGAGTAGCCAGGTGGGTAGTGGCGCTGGGCCAATACGACTTGAAGTTCAGGCCTAGAATGGTAATCAAGAGTCAGGTTCTTGCCAACTTTGTGGCCGATTTTAGCCCTGGAGCCATCGCAAGTCGGGCTCCGATGTGCCGCAGCTTAGGATGTCCAGGAGAACCAGAGGAAACCCAACAGGGACCACAAGACCCCATGCCAGCAACACAGACAAGAACAGAGCAACCAAAACCTTGCGACATCTACATCGAAGACTCCTTCTGCCTGTTTGGTATCACCAGAAGAGCGGAGAGCAATCAATGCATTTGTAATTCAAGGCCTCAAACAACGAAGCAGAGTACGAGGCACTGTTTGCTGGACTAAAGTTAGTAGCGGCTATGGAAGCCGATGAGTGATAGTCTTCTGTGACTCCCAACTTATTGTGAATTAAGCAACAGGCGAGTATACAGCCCGAGATGAAAGGATGATAGCCTATGTCAAAGAAGTTGTCAGACTACTTTCACTGTTCCATGATTGTTGGCTACAGCATTTTAGCTGAGATGACAACAGTCATGCCAATGCCTTGGCTAACCTGGCTAATGCAATAAAGTCAGGGGAACCTAGGACAATCATGGTGGATTATTTGACATGACCAAGTGTGGAGCCTCTGATAACAGAATATGAGGCAATATGCATAGAAATGGGCCCAAGCTGTATGGATGCAATAGTGATGTTCTTCAAGACTGGCAAGCTACCAGATGACCCAAAAAAAGCATACAAGACAAGGTTGAAGTTGGCCAGGTTCTCCTTGTCAGCAGAAGGCCATTTATACAGGAGATCCTTCACTAGACCTCTTCTAAGATGTGTGCAACTCTCCCAGGTGGAGCACTTTCTGCATGAAATACATGAAGGTATATGTAGAAACCATGCTGGGGGCAGATTACTTGCCCATAGAGCCATATCCTAGGGATACTAGTGGCCATACATGCAGAAAGATGTTGAAGCCTATGTGAAGAAATGTGAGAAGTGTCAATAGTGGTTTCTAACTATTTGGAGTATTCCGGAGAGATCCGTATGGTCAGATTTTTGAATCAAAGTTTTTGTAAAATGTAAGAAGACGATGAAGGAATCCACATCAACTTTAGGATCTATGATCAAGTTGAATCCTTCCAATTATGCAAACTGAAAGCTACAGATGAAGGACATCCTATATTATAAAGACATGTTTGACCCTATTACTCTAAAAGGGGTTAAACCGGAAGAAGTGAAAGATGAAGACTGGATAAAGATGAACCAAAAGACTGTCGGTTGTATCAGATAATGGATAGACCATAGTGTGTTCCACCATGTCGCCCAAGAGACAGGTGCATATGTCATTTGGACAATGTTAGAAGGAATGTACCAATCAAAGACCGCCCGAAACAAAGCCTTGGTGATGAGAAGGCTTGTAAATTTGAAGTTGAAGAATGATGTGTCTGTCGCCGAGCACACCAGTGAATTCAAGAATCTGGTGAATTAACTTGCAACCGTCACGATGCCCTTGGTGATCAAATGCAAGCCGTTCTACTGCTCAGTTCTTTACCAGACAGTTGGGAGATGTTAGTGGTTTCTCTCAGTAACTCTACACCAGAAGGAAAGCTGACCCATGAGCATGGTCATAGGCACCATGCACTATAACAAAAAGTGTCTTTGGAGATGAAAATTAATGACGAAAATAAATTGTCACAAAAGACGTACCTTTTAGTGAAGAAAATAATTTTTCGTCTCCAAATGTACCATTTTTAGAGACTAAAATAAAATTTCGTCACCAATCTGCATACATAATAAAAAAAATTAGGTGACGAAATTATTTTTCGTCATTATTTATATTTTTTTTGTCACTAAAGATTTTCCCGCTAATTTTTCGGATGGTACCAAAATTTTCAAACTTTTGGTGAGGAAAAAATCAGTCACCAATAATAAAATTATTAATGATGAATATATTTTCATCACTAATAATTTTAAATATTTTAATATTATTTAGTGAGAAAATTATTTTCGTGGCTAATAATTTTATCTTTTAATGAGGAAATAATTTTGTTACCAAATAAATGATTTAGTTGCTAAAGGTTTTTAAGGGGAAAATGAATATATTGGCGCCTTAGATATATCAGTTCTCTTCTCTCACGAGCATCTCCAACGGTAGTAGGCATTTTACCTATCTGAATATTACTATAAAGTATATATTTTATTTTGCCTATCAACTGTTTTATGTTTTTACTCCAACCATGCTCTTTATTTTAGCTATTTATCCAAATACTATTAATTTTAATCAGTTCTCTTCTCTCACGCCTCACGCCTCTGTGTCTCTTCTCTCTTACGCCTCACGCCTCACGCCTCTACCCTCATCTCTGCTACTGGAGCATCACCGCAATGGTTAGACGAGCACAACGCAAGGGTTAGGCGAGAACACCGTAAGGGTTAGCACCACCGTCGCTTTGTCTTGGGTAGGCATGTCCTCTATTTCGCCCTCTCTCTCATTCTCTCTCTGTGCGTGTGTGTGTGTCTCTCTCTGTCTTGTAGAATTCTAGAATCTATAGAATTTCGATTCCTTCCTTCCAGTTGGAAGCCTTAAGCTGTGTTTGGAACTTAGATTTGTGGAGGGAAAAGACAAATTACATAAGATTTTTTTTTTCTCCTTTTGTTTTCATTTTTCTCTCTATAAATTTAAGATTCAAACACTGTATCACTTGTTTATTTATTTATTATGGTATATATGTGGTTTAGGGGACTGAACTGTGCTTCAAATCTGAAGATAGGTGAACTCTTCTGGTGTTTGAAATGTAGGGTTTTAAAAAAGTTGTCTTGAGAGTTTGAAGAATCGCAAAGCATTTTGTTGGTATGGATTATAAGAAATTTATGATAGATGTAGTTTATGAATTACATATATTGTGGATTTATTTTTTTATTTTTTTAAATTCCTTTGATTCTGGTGATTTTATCAGGACGATTTCAACATGTTTTATCCTTTCCTGTTAGTTCACTTTTTGATTCAGAAACCCCCAACGAGAAATACAAACATAATTTGTGTAGAGAATTGTACAATGATGTGGGTTGTTGTAAACTCTATAGTTCTAATCAAAACACTTGCGATCAAGCTTATAATTGTATAAATTTTTTGTATGTAAATCATTTTTGAAATAAAAAACAGAGAACACTACTTATTTTTTGTAACATCAAACATAATAGGCAACCAAAAAAAAAAAAACAACATCAAACATAGGAGGAGGTAGTTAATACTCTTATGCCTGTATAAGGATCAAATAACTGATCATATGAACAATACAAGGCAACATAAATCTAATTGTAGTAAGTAATATTTTTGCAATCTAACAGAAACTAGTTCTGAACTTCTGATGAATTGTTAAACTTCCTTAAATCCCAAGAAATTCAGCCATAATAAGTTACCTTGCACCCTTCTAGTTCTTGTAAAAACTCCCTACCTTCAATATATTTCTGAATCCTCGCGAGCACTGCCACCGCCTTCTGATCCCCCTCTCTATTCAGCTCCTCCAAAAACTGCTGAGACACAATACTCATCATCCTTATGAAGTGAATTTTGTACTTCATGTGAAGCTTATAACCTGCCATGCTCAGAAACGCCTCGAGTGCCACAGCAGTATACACATTGGCAGGAAGCCCCATCAAGAATCTCACTAGCCACACCCACCCATGCATTATCGCGTGCCAATTCTCTGCCCCCTCGACCTCTATCTGGACCAGCGCCCCGTATAGTCTCATATAATTTGCCAACCTTTCTAAGTAACTAACATCGCTTTCGATCTTCCCATCTTGTTCTCTATACCCAACTGTTCGATAAAATAAGGTATACTGAATCTTCACCAATGTTAGTTAGAGCATGAAATGGAACATTAGGAATACATGCTCATAAGCATTATGGTTAGTGCTTACTTTTTATTTTATTTTATTTTATTAAGAGTTAGTTTTTTATAATACCATGATATTCCTCTAGATGCTCATGCTTTTAACCATTTGATGTTGTTGCTTCTCACAGTTTAAGAAATATACAGTGGCTTTATATGGATATGGATATGCTTATGAAGCTGGCTGCATATTTAGCAATTAAAAAACGACAGGGTTTTAATAACATTATACACCTTGATTTAGTTGTTGAATGTTAAAATCGACAATTAAATGGTTTTTATGAGTCCTACTGGGTATGATTAAAATCGACGATTAAATGGTTTTTGTGATTAAAATGGACGATTAAAGACTTTCCACCGTCATCACTGCCGTTAATTAAGACATTTCTCACAATTGACCCTGTTGAACGTCAAACTGCCACAGCTGCATTAAGGAGTTGATATGGGTATGATTATAACATTACACCCATAGTTGCTGATATGGGTATGATTAAAATCGACGATTAAATGGTTTTTGTGATTAAAATGGACGATTAAAGACTTTCCACCGTCATCACTGCCGTTAATTAAGACATTTCTCACAATTGACCCTGTTGAACGTCAAACTGCCACAGCTGCATTAAGGAGTGAAATGAGCTTTTATATTATTGCCCCTCTTTATTTGCTGTATTTGCAATATATAGGCTCTTGTTTGGGTGGTTTCTGCTTGTTTTTCCTTTGCTTTAACTGGTTTATGGTCAAATAACTTTCAAGTTTATTTTTTCATGTTAATCACTTATCAAAATATGTAAGGTTCTCCTTTTAGGATATGACTAACAGATTAGTGAAATGAATTAATTCAATTACTGAGGCCCAAGATTGCCAAATAGTTTCTGAAGTCATTACTGAGTCTTTTTGATAAAACTGAAATTTATGTTCTGAAAAGTTTACTATTGAATAAAACAAAGGCCTAGAATATGGTTATACTAGGATGCTGGTGCTATCAATGAATATATTTGTGGGGTTAGATATTAATTAATTTAATTTTTCATCATCAATTACAATAATGACTTAGGTGAGTTGGTTATTTGGGTTAGTAATTTGAGTTTTTGAAATCATAAGAAATGGTTACAAAAGGCTTTACTATGTACTAGGTGCATGTGCTCTATGTGCTGACTTGAACTCCAAACAAATCTTAAGATTTACTTGGGGCTTTGTAGGCTTCACTATGCACAGCAACTGTTTTCTGCTTGTCAAAAGCTTGTGAAAGAAAAGTGCTAGCATGCCAAGCAGGACTTGATGTCAGTAAATGAACAAGTTAATAGTGTGAAAGAGTATGCAATGAAGATGGAAAGTGCTAGTGTTTCGTGGAAGAGAAACTTTATCACTGATTCGCTGGTACGTTTCTTAGACTCCAAAATATTACGAGCTAGATGCAAACTTCTTGTGTTAAATCGATGTAACCAATCTATGTCTCTGACAATATTTATCAATCTTTTTTGTTCTTTTGTCTTGAATTTTATTTATGAAATTACACGTGTCTATACAAATGCAGATTGATAGTACACTTGCATGTATTGTCAAGATTATAAAATCAACTCTACAATTATCAAATCTTGATCTTGATGCTTCATATGCTAAAGAAATCTGTTCTAATGCCTTCCTCCTCAATTACTCGAAATGATATTAGTGAATTCTACTAATTTATTTTATTGGATTAGTAGGCTTTGTTAGTATATTATGTTTCTATGTTAATTTAGTAGAAATTTCTTAATCAACTAGGGTAGAATAAAAAAAAACTTTGACATTTAGGGGCGAAAGGTCACGGGAAAATAGTGAAATATGCATGTAAAGATTCGAAAAACATCATAAATACCTTGAGACGGAGCAACATAAGTTGTGCAAAATCACAAAAGAAGTGTGTGGCTCCCAATTTGAAAACTACTTTGAAATTTGCACTATTACAACACGTAGGCATGAAACTAAGTAAAAAAATGACCTTTTCCAACGCTTAAGCTTGAAAATAGGCCATCAGAGGCCAAAATCGTGCAACAGCCATGAGACAGCCTGGGGAACACCTCAAACACCTTGGGAGGGACCAATGTGAGTTGTGAAAAGTTACGGAACTAGCACGGGACTCCCGGTTTGAAAACTAAGTCCAAAAATGCACTTTTTCACACTTAAGCTTGAAAATAGGCCATCGGAGGCCAAAATCATGCAACAGCCATGAGACAGCATGGAGAACAACTCAAACACCTTGGGAGGGGCAAATGTGAGTTGTGGAAACTTACGGAACTAGCACGCGACTCCCAGTTTGAAAACTAAGTCCAAAATTGCACTTTTTCACACTTAAGCTTGAAAATAGACATTCGGGGTGCAAATTTGTGCAACAACCACGGGACGGCCTGGGGAACATCTCGGGAGGACCAATGTGAGTTGTGGAAACTTACGCAACTAACACGGGACTCCCAGTTTGAAAACTAAGCCCAAAAATACACTTTTTCACACTTAAGCTTGAAAATAGGCCATCGGAGGCCAAAATCGTGCAACAGCCACGAGACAGCTTGGGGAACACCTCAAACACCTCAGGAGGGACAAATGTGAGTTGTGGAAACTTACGGAACTAGCACGGGACTCCCGGTTTGAAAACTAAGTCCAAAAATACACTTTTTCAAACTTAAGCTTGAAAATAGGCCATCGGAGGCGAAAATCGTGCAACAGTCACGAGACAGCCCGGGGAACACCTCAAATACCTCGGGAGGGACAAATGTGAGTTGTGGAAACTTACGAAACTAGCATGGGACTCCCGGTTTGAAAACTAAGTCCCAAATTGCACTTTTTCACACTTAAGCTTGAAAATAGACCTTCGAGGGCCAAAATCGTGCAACAGCCACAGGACGGCCTGGGAACACCTCAAACACCTCGGGAGGGACCAATGTGAGTTGTGGAAACTTACGGAACTAGCACGGGACTCCCGGTTTCAAAACTAAGTCAAAAATTGCCCTTTTTCACATTTAAGCTTGAAAATAGGATATTGGAGGCCAAAATCGTGCAACAGCCATGAGACGGCCCGAGGAACACCTCAAACACCTCAGGAGGGACCAATGTGAGTTGTGGAAACTTACGGAATCAGCACGGGACACCCGGTTTGAAAACTAAGTCCAAAAATGCACTTTTTCACACTTAAGCTTGAAAATAGGCCATCGGAGGCCAAAATCATGCAACAGCCACGAGACGGCCTGGGAACACCTCAAACACCTCGGGAGGGACAAATGTGAGTTGTGGAAACTTACGGAACTGGCACGGGACTCCCGGTTTGAAAACTAAGTCCAAAATTGTACTTTTTCACACTTAAGCTTGAAAATAGACATTCAGGGGCCAAAATCGTGCAACAGTGTGAAATCCCCACATTTAATTATTCTTAAAAGAAAATAAATAAATTAATTAATTAATTAATTTTATCTACAGTCTATCTGTATTGTATATTAGTGTAAAAGTTAGTTTTAAATTGACCCAATTCAATCATTAACAAAGACATTATTATGAATAATAATTTTATGGGTGTTCAATATTTGTTGTTTATAAATTATTTTAATTAGGATTCAATATGATAATTATTCTTACTAAATACCTTAGTTAAAAATCTTAGTGTATCAATTTTCAGAAACCCACACATATACAAAAAAAAAAAAGGGGGAATCAAACCTTTGTAGAAATTCGGTGGAGGCTTTCCACATGTTGGTTTGCATGCTTGTTTAGGGAAAAAGAGCTGATTATGCTCATGGAATTGAGAGAAAGAGAACTTAGAATGAAGAGAAAGAAAGAGAGAGAGAGAGAGAGAGAGAGAGAGAGAGAGAGAGAGAGAGAGATGTGCTCAACAAGCATTGCATATTTATATATGCATGCAAGCCTTCATTGTATATAGGTGTGCATGCAAGCATTCGGTGAAAAAAAAAAGGAGAGAGAAATCCCTGAAGCAACCAAGCTTAGTAATAGGAGAGGAAGAAGAGTAGGAGATTACGGAAGCCAAAATTCTCAACCATTTTGTCACCCTATTACTAAGTAAGAAAACCCTCTCAATCCTCTCATTTTGTTTGATATTTGAAATTTTCCGATTATATACATATGATAAATTGTCTAAACTTGTAGATAGGATTTTATTTATAATTGTATAAAAATTTCATGATGGTATATTAAATATTGATAGTCTGGAAATCATGATAATATTGTGGAATTTGGACTTGCATATGTAGTTTATGCCATTATAAAGATTATTGAAGATGTTATTTGCCCCTTTAAATCTGCCAGAAAGTTGTACGAATTTTTAGACAATTTTATACTCAAATTTTGAAGATGATTTCTCTACAAAGTTGTTGATAATGATGTCTAGTTCATCCATAAAAGTTTTCAACAATTATTGAGTTTTGTACGAATTTATAAATATTTTTAACCAAATCTAGAGCTATAGATAGATTTTATTATGTGTTTGAAAAATCATTAAAATTTTTATATTAAACCAAATCTGATAATTTCTAAGAAAAAAATAAAATTTGAGAAGTCTAATTTCATAATAATTTTTAGATCATGGAATTGATTTATAAATTTAAGTATGGAATTAATTTAAGAAAATGTGATAAATCTGTGTCATAAACACTCTTGGAATTTTTAAGAATTATTTATAATTTATTTTGAAAAATGACAATAACATGTTTATTGAGTATTCTGTAGATTTATATGAATTTTAGAGTTGTATAAGTAATTTATTTATAATTGTATTTGCAAGATATACATTCTGAAAATTTTGACAGATTAAGGAGGAATCAAAAACTATCTCTTCAATTGTTTATTTATAACTTATTTTTGGGAAATTCTTTCTGAAAAATGACCTAAACATATTTATTGAATATTCTGTACATTTTCACGAATTTTAGAACTGTATAAATAATTTATTTATAATTTTTATTACCTAAGGTATAACCTGAAAATTTCTGGACAGATTTAAGATCATCACTTCAATTATTTATTTGGATAAAAAAAATCAGTTAATGTGTTGGTCTAATTCGTCAAATATTGTAAATTAGTAATCCATGTATGGGTGTATTGTGGTTTATTTAATATTATGCTAGTTTAATCTTATAGATTAAAAGTCCATGCATGTGTGTAATTATGATTTATTTTTATTTTTTTGGTATCTACATTATTATTTCATACCATAGTAATAGTTTATTTAAATTTTGTACAATTGTTTATTATTATGTGACATATGTAATATTTTATGTTGGGATTCTAATGAGTTGGTATAACATTATTGGTAATTAAATTTTGAATTTTTGTGAATATCTCAACAAGTAAAGAAACACGAAATTTAACCAATGATACATTAAAATATAAAAGTGATGGGATGAGCCCGGCTTAGAATCTTGCGCAAGTGAGTTACGAACCCTAACATGGCACGGGAAGGTATTTCGGCTCTTATCGGTGTAGGTGATATAAGGTTGGTGGTACGGGTGTCACAACATAGACCGTTCCCATCGGGCAGACCGTGATGTCACGACTCGGGTACGTAACTCTGGTACGTGGGCATGATTGGTAGTTACAGTAAGTAACATTTAAATAGTTGACCAAGGGGGAGTCAGAATTGCCCGTGGCCATTGCTTAGTGGTTGAATGGAAATATTGCTCCGCAGGGAGTTACTAAATTTATCTGATAAACCAAATCTATGAAAAAATTTTAAAAAAAATGTGGACATATTCCTTATGATGAAATACTGTTTCCGTTTGTTATATTTTTATTTGATTTATTATCATTTATTATTATTATTTTAACTGATAACATTTATTTTATGATTACTAAATGTTTCTGGTTATTTTGTTATTACACATTATTCATGAATTGTGAGTGTTATTATCCGGGTGGGCATTTTCGGGTTGTAGTATCTTATTGAGCTCGTCGCTCACTGGCATTCCCGTTCCTGTTGCCCTGGCGTTTTATGTCAGGTACCAAAGAAACCGAAGGAGACACCGAGGCCTTGCAAGGCGACACTCAACCTTGGTTAGCTTGAAGAGTGCCCAAGTTCCATGAACCATTTCTTAAAAATTCTAGTTTTTCTCTAGTTTTCTTTTTATATTTGTGTCATTTCGGTTATGTACTAAGACTAAGTTGTAATGTAAGAACTTTAAATTCTGGGTTTTTAATTAATGGATGTTAGTAACCTTGGTGGCAATATTGATTTTAAGTTTCTAAATCTTATTATAATGTCCTTAAATTTGGGGCGTCACAGTATGGTATCAGAGCTTAGGTTGAGAAACCCTTGAGACCTTGCGAAACCGTAAGCTTGCTTGTTAAATAACTTATTAGTGGTTAAAGTGAGCATTTTTAGTTACTAAGTAAAATTTTTATCTTTGTAGATGGCAAACGAAAATCAAAATGAATGGTTGGAGGAAGAACCTGAGATGTTAGATGAGCCTATTGACTGGGAAGAGGACCCAGAGGAAGAGCCAGAAGAGAACTTGGAATTAGAGGAAGAACTTGAGATGTTAGATGAGCCTAGTGACTGGGAAGATGATCCAGAGGAGGACCTAGAAGAAGAGCCAGAAGAGAACTTGGAAGAAGAGTTTGAAGTAGGAGTTGAGGGTGACTCCGATCCTGAGTCTGACTCTGATCAGGAAATGATGGAGTCTAATCCTGAATCCTCGATAGAGGACGGACCTGAGGCGGCCCTGAGGCGACCTTGAGGCATATAATGGTGCCACCCATCCTGCCATATGGAAAGGCAGTATTTGTGAGGGTTACCCCTACTAGGATGTGCTATTGGAGGAGCTCACCTAGAAAAGATATGTTTATCAGGCCAGTCTAGATAAGAGAATATCTGGACAATAATTTCTATCGAGTATGGAACCTACCTCCGCAATACGTCGCAAACAAGGGCGATGCGTTTCTGCTACAAGATATCCGGACTACCCATCCTCTTTTCGGTCACGTTGTCCGAACCCTAGATCCATTGGTGAATTTTTATAGAGCTGCCATGTATCACGAGCTTCCTACCTGCGTGATTAGGCGAATGGTGGGTCAGAATGGAGTGCGGATGGTCCTTGTCTGCTGGGAGTGTTATGGGCTACCCGATGAGGCATGGGAGTTTGAGGAAACAGTGCGTCAACGTTGTGCCTATTTTCTTAGTTAGGAAATGACAAGTGTAGAAGTTAGGACAACAACAACAAATTTTGTAGCACTTAATTGTAATAGTCCTAGCTTCTAACTTAGGGTTTTTGGTATAAAAAAAAAATGAAATAGGCAGGGGTAGAATGAATTTTCTTTTTTTTGTGTTTTCCTCTTTCTTTTATGAATGTACTGATCTTTTATTATCATTAATGAAATCCTAGTATTTAAAAGTTTGTGTGTTGGACTATTTTGCTGGCATTTTATTTTTAAGCAAAAATAATAATAATAATAATAAATAAATAAATAAAGGGTACAGAAGATGGTAGGAAGAACTAGAGCAAATGGATCCAATGACAACAACAACAACAGTGACGTTATGAATTTCGTTCGGGCAATTATTAATGAACTAAGAAACCAACCCAGGCGTGAAAACAACAAAGCAGAATCAATAGCGAAATTTCAAAAACTCAAGCGCCAAAAATTTTTCAGAGAACCCAATCCCTACGTGGCTGAGGCATGGATAAGGCAAGTGAAGAAAATATTGGAGACACTAGAAATTCAGAACGAGCAGGACCAAATGTCCCTTCCGTCATTTCTCTTTGACGAGGAGGTTGATTTCTAGTGGACGATGACTAAGGAAAGCCGTCAGGTGGCAGACCTTTCTTGGAGATAATTCGAAGAATTGTTTATGGAAAAGTACTTCCCAAACTCAGTAAGGCAGGAGATGATCCAAGAATTTCTCCAACTGAAACAAAGAGGCATGACTGTGACACGGTATGCCAATCGATTTGAGGCCCTTTCTCGCCATGCCACAGCTATAGTGGCAAATGAAACAGATAAGGTAAGGCACTTCGAGTGGGGACTCGACTCGGGGATCCGAGACAAGCTGGTTGCAATGCAGTTACCTACTTATGCACAGGTAGTAGATAGGCCTCTTACCTTAGAAAGAGAAAAGATAGACACTGCAAGGACTCAAGGTCAGCAGTTTAGAACCAACCAGCCAAGAAGTAGAGGACCCTCAAGGAACAACAGGACCCCTGCTACCTCGGCACCTTATGCGAGGGGGCCACAACAACAGCAAGGGTACAATCCTGAACAGTACAATCCTGAACAGCGTAATAGGGAAGGGGCTAGAAGGTGTTATGAATGTGGCCAAGAAGGGCATTTTAGGAACAATTGCCTCAGAGGTCAGGCTACTACATCAATCAAAGGGAGGCCACTCAACGAAGAAATGCATACCAACTCAGGGAACGCGAGCTACGCAAAATTCCCAATCTGGCAGAGGTCAGCCGCCAGCTAATCGGAATGTGGGGTAATCAAGGACTCAACAACCAAGAGATGCCAATGCAAGGAAACCTTAGGTGCCAAACCAAGGCGCCACCGGAAGAGTCTTTGCACTCCAAGAAGGAAAAGACGATGGAAATCCTTCAGTGATTCGAGGTATACTCATTCTTATGAACTCTTGTGTACAAGTCTCTTTTGATTCTGGAGCATCACACTTTTTCATATCTGCTTCATGTGTTGCAACTTTGGGATTAAAGCCTGAACAATTAGAAGCACCTATGAGTGTAGCTTCACCGCTAGGAGGTCAAACTCGAGTAGATCTCGTATGCAAATCATGTGAACTAGCTTACGTTTAACTTGCGACCTACGAGTCATGGAAATTTCAGATTTTGACGTTATCCTAGGAATGGACTGGTTATCAGCCCATAGAGCCACCATTGATTGCCATCGAAAGACGGTGACTGCTTACTCTCAGGATGGAACGCGATTTCAATTTAAGGGGGATAAACAAGATTCCCTATCACTAACATTTGGAAAGTCAAAGTGGCATGATCACCTAGCTGGGTGGCTAGCCAGCTTAGTTCTAGAAGACAAAGATCGTATGGAACTAGGGCTACCTCGTGTGGTGTGCGAGTATACTGATGTGTTTCCAGAGGAGTTACCAGGACTACCCCCAAAACAGGAAGTGGACTTTACCATTGAACTACCACCTAGTACATCACCGATCTCGATGGCACCACATCGTATGGCACCAGCTGAATTGAGAGAGCTAAAAGCGCAGTTGCAAGAATTGTTGGACAAGGAATTTATAAGGCCAAGCACGTCCTCGTGGGAAGTACTAGCCTTATTTGCTAAAAGAAAGATAGGACACTTAGGTTGTGCATTGATTACTGACAACTCAATAGAGTCACCATTAAGAATCGGTATCCACTACCTAGAATTGATGACCTTTTCGATCAGCTTAGAGGGGCAAAGTATTTCTCAAAGATAGACCTCAAGTCTGGGTATCACCAATTTCGTGTTCGGGAAGAAGATATTCTTAAGACTGCGTTTCAAACCCGTTACGGCCACTATGAATTCATAGTGATGCCATTTGGCCTAACCAACGCACCGGGCGTGTTCATGAGCTTAATGAACAAATTATTCACGCCTTACTTAGATCAATTTGTGGTAGTTTCAAAGATGATATTTTGGTGTACTCCAAGTCTGAAGGAGACCATGAACAACATTTGAGAATAGTACTTCGGGAAGAAGATATTCTTAAGACTGCGTTTCGAACCCGTTACGGCCACTATGAATTCATAGTGATGCCATTTGCCCTAACCAACGCACCGGGCGTGTTCATGAGCTTAATGAACAAATTATTCACGCCTTACTTAGATCAATTTGTGGTAGTTTTCATAGATGATATTTTGGTGCACTCCAAGTCTGAAGGAGACCATGAACAACATTTGAGAATTGTACTTCAAACTTTAAGAAAGAACCAATTGTATGCTAAGGCTAGTAAATGTGAGTTCTGGATGGGGGAAGTAAAGTTTTTGGGTCACGTGGTATCTGAAAAGAGAATATCAGTAGACTCAACTAAAGTAGATGCAGTGACAGAATGGAAGCAACCTAAGAACACATTTGAGATTCGTAGTTTCTTAGGATTGGCCGGTTACTATCGAAGATTCATTCAAGACTTTTCAAAATTGGCCAAACCAATGACACATTTGACTCAAAAGGGGGTAAAGTTTGAATGGAAAGAGTCTTGTGAAAATTCATTCCAAGAACTCAAGAAAAGATTGACGAGTGCCCCTATTCTCATAGTGCTGGAACGTGACGTTGGGTACAACGTGTATTGTGATGCTTCCAAAGAAGGTCTGGGGTGCGTATTGATACAGAATGGCAAGGTGGTGGCATATGGATCAAGGCAATTAAAGAACCATGAAAAGAATTATCCCACTCATGACTTGGAGTTAGCAACTATAGTTCACGCACTCAAAATTTGGAGACACTACCTGTATGGTGAAAAGTTTGAGATATTCACCGATCACAAAAGCTTGAAGTGTCTGTTCACCCAAAGGGATTTAAACATGCGTCAGAGACGTTGGATGGAGTATCTCGAGGATTATCAATTTACCCTTTCCTATCATCCCGACAAGGCTAACGTGGTGGCAGATGCCCTAAGTCGCAAGAAGAAAGGGATTGTTGCTAGTTTAGCACTTAGAGAATGGAATATGGTTGGAACGCTCAATGAATTTGGGGTACAATTGGGGGTTCAAGATGAAGAGGCTTACCTTGGTGCTCAGATCGCTACACCTAAAATTTCGAGCAAGATATTGGAATCACAAAAGTACGATCAGGAGGTAGCATTCATCAAGATACAAATGGAATCTAGTGAAGCCATGCCTGGTTGGGAAATTCACACTGATGGGAGTTTGAAATATCAAGGTCGAATGTTCGTGCCAAGCGACAACTCACTAAGGGAAAAGGTACTCAAGGAATTCCACCATTCAGTGTTCGCAGTACATCCGAGAGGTACTAAGATGTACCAAGACTTAAAACGCCAATATTGATGGGGCGGAATGAAAAGGGATGTAGCAAAGTTTGTGTCTCAGTGCCTGGCATGTCAACAAGTAAAGGCTGAACATCAAAGGCCGGTAGGAACACTTCAACCCTTACCAATTCCGGAGTGGAAATGGGAACACATAACTATGGATTTTGTGACGGGTTTGCCTCGGTCACCACAGGGACATGACGGCGTGTGGGTGGTGGCAGACCGATTAACTTAGACAGCCCGGTTCTTACCTGTCGGGTCATCAGATACGTTGGATTCACTTAGTAGATTGTTCATCAAAGAAGTGATCAGATTACACGGAGTGCCGGTTAGCATCGTGTCTGATCGTGATCCTCGATTCACTTCTCAGTTTTGGTAGAGCTTGCAGAAGGCAATGGGAACAAAGTTATGCTTGAGCACAACATTTCACCTACAAACCGATGGGCAGTCTGAAAGGACGATACAAACCTTGGAGGATATGCTTCGAGCTTGCGTTATAGATTTTAAGGGAAGTTAGGAGAAACACCTACCTCTCGTTGAGTTCGCTTACAACAATAGTTTCCAAGCCAAAATGGCACCGTATGAAGCACTTTATGGGCAACCTTGTCGGTCACCAGTCTGTTGGACTGAAGTAGGGGAAGTAACCTTGTTAGGACCAGACTTGGTTCAGGAGACCACTGAGAAGATAAAACTGATCAAACAACGGCTAACCACAGCCCAAAGTCGACAAAAGAGCTATGCGAATCAAAGGACACGACCCTTAACATTTGAAGTAGGGGATCATGTTTTTCTCAAAGTTCGACCTCGTCGAGGTGCTACACGATTTGGGAAGAAAGGAAAACTTGCACCTCGGTATGTGGGACCCTTCGAAATCCTGAGCAAAGTAGGAGAAGTGGCGTACCGCTTGGTTTTACCACCTCAACTGGCCGGAGTACATAATGTTTTTCACATCTCTATGCTACGGAAATATGAGCCACACCCTTCTCACATCATCAATTGGGAGGAAATTAATCTTGATGAAGATGTGACAATTGAAGAGAAACCTATCAAGATTTCAGATCATCGCGAGAAGAAATTACGAGGTAAAACCATACCATTGGTTCGAGTTCTTTGGAGACATCGTGGGACAGAAGAGTCAACGTAGGAACGAGAAGATATGGTACGTGCCAATTACCCTAAGCTTTTCGAGTCTAAAGGTATGAATTAATTTCGAGGACGAAATTTTTTTTAGGAGGGTAGATTGTGAAAACCCGCATTTAATTATTCTCTATCTGAATTGTATATTCGTGTAAAAGTTAGTTTTAAATTGACCCAATTCAATCACTAACAAAGACATTATTAAGAATAATAATTTCGTGGGTGTTCAATATTTGTTGTTTATAAATTATTTTAATTAGGATTCAATATGATAATTATTCTTACTAAATACCTTAGTTAAAAATCTTAGTGTATCAATTTTCAGAAACCCACACATATACAAAAAAAAAAAAGGGGGAATCAAACCTTTGTAGAAATTCGGTGGAGGCTTTCCACATGTTGGTTTGCATGCTTGTTTAGGGAAAAAGAGCTGATTGTGCTCATGGAATTGAGAGAAAGAGAACTTAGAATGAAGAGAAAGAAAGAGAGAGAGGGAGAGAGATGTGCTCAACAAGCATTGTATATTTATATATGCATGCAAGCCTTCATTGTATATAGGTGTGCATGCAAGCATTCGGTGAAAAAACAAAGAGAGAGAAATCCCTGAAGCAACCAAGCTTAGTAATAGGAGAGGAAGAAGAGTAGGAGATTACGGAAGCCAAAATTCTCAACCATTTTGTCACCCTATTACTAAGTAAGAAAACCCTCTCAATCCTCTCATTTTGTTTGATATTTGAAATTTTCAGATTATATACATATGATAAATTGTCTAAACTTGTAAATAGGATTTTATTTATAATTGTATAAAAATTTCATGATGGTATATTAAATATTGATAGTCTGAAAATCATGATAATATTGTGGAATTTGGACTTGCATGTGTAGTTTATGTCATTATAAAGATTATTGAAGATGTTATTTGCCCCTTTAAATCTGCCAGAAAGTTGTAAAAATTTTTAGACAATTTTATACTCAAATTGTGAAGATGATTTCTTCTACAAAGTTGTTTATAATGATGTCTAGTTCATCCACAAAAGTTTTCAACAATTATTGATTTTTTGTACGAATTTATAAATATTTTTAACCAAATCTGGAGCTATACGCAGATTTTATTATGTGTTTGAAAAATCATTAAATTTTTTATATTAAACCAAATCTGATAATTTCTAAGAAAAAAATGAAATTTGAGAAGTCTAGTTTCATAATAAATTTTTAGATCATATAATTTATTTATAAATTTAAGTATGGAATTAATTTAAGAAAATGTGATAAATCTGTGTCATAAACACTCTTGGAATTTTTAAGAATTATTTATAATTTATTTTTGGAAAATGATTCAATGGACGGTGCAAGGGACACCGAGATTGCAATGGGAGGCTATCAACCACATCATTTATCAACAAACAAACCTTCCATGGGACAAATATATGGTTTTAGAATTGCGTTGTGGTACGAACACCTTGGAGTGGTAGACGAGGCCTTTCGTCACCCAGAAATTTTGGATTGTGTCACGGCCATAAATTCATTGGCTGATCGAAATTGGAAAAACTACGTGAGCGATGATTTCCATGATGACCTTCCTTGTCACCTCCTCAAGTACCCTATTGCGATCTCCGACAATGGAAACATAACTACATTGCCAGGATTTGAGTTCTTCCCAGACACCAAGGCTCGTATCGTCGGCAACAAATCTTTAAGGTATAACCTGAAAATTTCTGGACAGATTTAAGATCATCACTTCAATTATTTATTTGCATAAAAATCAGTTATTGTGTTGGTCTAATTTATCAAACATTGTAAATTAGCAATCCATGCATCGGTGTATTGTGGTTTATTTAATATTGTGCTAGTTTAATCTTATAGATTAAAAGTCCATGCATGTGTGTAATTATGATTTATTTCTTCTTTTTTGTTTTGGTATCTACATTATTATTTCATACCATAGTTTAAATAAATTGTTTATTTAAATTTTGTACAATTGTTTATTATTGTGTGACATATGTAATATTTTATGTTGGGATTCTAATGAGTTGGTATAACATTATTGGTAATTAAATTTTGAATTTTTGAGAATATCTCAACAAATAAAGAAACACGAAATTTAACCAATGATACATTAAAATGTAAAAGTGGTGGGATGAGCCCGGCTTAGAATCTTGCGCAAGTGAGTTGCGAACCCTAACATGGCACGGGAAGGTATTTCGGCTCTTATCGGTGTAGGCGATATAAGGTTGGTGGTGCGGGTGTCACAACATAGACCGTTCCCTTGGGCAGACCGTGATGTGATGACTCGGGTACGTAACTCTGGTACGTGGGCATCATTGGTAGTTACAGTAAGTAACATTAAAATATTTGACCAAGGGGGAGTCAGAATTGCCCGTGGCCATTGCTTAGTGGTTGAATGGAAATAGTGCTCCGTGGGGAGTTACTAAATTTATCTGATAAACCAAATCTATGAAAATTTTATAAAAAAAAATGTGGACATATTCCTTATGATGAAATACTGTTTCCGTTTGTTATATTTTTATTTGATTTATTATCATTTATTGTTATTATTTCAACTGATAACATTTATTTTATGCTTACTAAATGTTACTGGTTATTCTGTTATTACACATTATTCATGAATTGTGAGTATTATTATCGGGGTGGGCATTTTCGGGTTGTAGTATCTTATTGAGCTCGTCGCTCACTGGCATTCCCGTTGTGTTGCCCTGGAATTTTATGCCAGGTACCGAAGAAACTGAAGGAGACACCGAGGCATTGCAAGGCAACACTCAACCTTGGTTAGCTTAAAGAGTGCCCAAGTTCCATGAACCATTTCCTAAAAATTCTAGTTTTTCTCTAGTTTCCTTTTTATATTTGTGTCATTTCGGTTATGTACTAAGACTAAGTTGTGATGTAAGAACTTTAAATTCTGAGTTGTTAATTAATGGATATTAGTAATCTTGGTGGCAATATTGATTTTAAGTTTCTAAATGTTATTATGATGTCCTTAAATTTGGGGCGTCACAAATAGCCACGAGACGGCCTAGGGAACACCTCAAACACCTCAGGAGAGACCAATGTGAGTTGTGAAAACTTACAAAACTAGCCCGGGACTCCCGGTTTGAAAACTAAGTCAAAAAATGCACTTTTTCACATTTAAGCTTGAAAATAGGCCATCGGATGCCAAAATCGTGCAATAGCCATGAGACGGCCTGGGGAACACCTCAAATACCTTGGGAGGGACAATGTGAGTTGTGGAAACTTACGAAACTAGCACGGGACTCCCGGTTTGAAAACTAAGTCCAAAAATACATTTTTTCACACTTAAGCTTGAACATAGGCCATCGGAGGCCAAAATCGTGCAACAGCCACGAGACGGCTCGGGGAACACCTTAAATATCTCGGGAGGGACCAATGTGAGTTGTGAAAACTTACGGAAGTAGAACGGGACTCCCGGTTTGAAAACTAAGTCCAAAATTATACTTTTTCACACTTAAGCTTGAAAATAGACCTTTAGGGGGCCAAAATCGTGCAGCAGCCACGGGACAGCTCGGGCAACACCTCAAACACGTCGGGAGGGACCAATGTAAGTTTTGAAAACTTACGGAACTTGAACCGGACTCTCAATTTGAAAACTAATTCGAAAAATGCATGTTAAATTGTATATTTTATGGATAAGATAATAATTGTCTAACTTGTATGTTTTTTTTTTTTTTTTGTGTTTCATTTTTTTGCAGATTCAAGATTTGATATGGACATGTTTGGTAATTTGGTGGACAGATGGTAGCTCATTTTGTGTTTTTGTTCATATTACCTTACATGTATTTTGGTTGCGTTGTAAATTTTATGTTTTTGTTGGTATTAAGGGCATATTGGGTAATCCGCCCTTGATATTTTGTTTTTGTTGATATTAGCAGACATGTTTTTTGTTGGATATTAGGAGATGTGTTTGGTAATCCGCATGCGGTTGATATTATATTTTTGTGGATATTAGTAGACATTTTTGTGGATATTAGGAGACGTGTTTATAATCTGCATTCAGTTCATATTGTATTTTTGTGGATAGTGCTGAAATTCGATTGTGACGTTTATAAAAATGAACATATTTTTGTATTGATTTGTAATAGATATTTTATTGAACAGGTTATTGAAATGCGCAGGGAATTATTACTGAAAAGAAAAAATTTCAGAAGAAAATAGTACCCCCATTTTCAAATTTTTTAATTTTTATTAGTGACGAAATAAAAAAAATGTCGCGATTAGTTTTCAAAAGACATGACGAATAATTTTGTTACTAATGATATAGTACCAAACAAATAATTTCATCACATTTAATGAATATTTCGTCGTTAAATTGAAATATTTGGTGACAAAATGTTTTTTGTCATTGAAGAATTTTCTTTTCTGCTCATTTTAGTGGCGATTTTTTTTGTCACCTTAATCCATATCATTGGTGAGGAAAATGTTTGTCACTAAAATCTATTTGGCGACGAAATATTTCGTTGCCAAAAACAATTAAAATAAAATATTATTTAGTTTTGGTGACGAAATTGATGTTATAGAGGGCGAAAAATTCAACATTCGAAGACGAAACATTTCGTCGCCAAAAATAAAAAATAGGCGATGAAACTGTTTTTCGTCACCAGGTACTTTCAGCGACGACATATAGGCCACGTACATGGTGACAAATTTTTTTCGTCGCAGATCACTTTAGTGACGAAAATTTGATGTTTGGAGACAAAATCAGTCTATCACCAAAGGCCTTTTTTGTTGTAGTGATGTACATTGTTGTAGTGATGTACAATAAAGAGATAAGGATGAAAGAGGTACTCAGTCCCATGCTTGTGTCATAGAAGATAGAGGCAGAGACAGAGGTAAAGGAAAAGACAGAGGAAGAAGCAAGAGTAGAGGCAGGTAGAACAACATGAGTAAATTTAGAGACAGTAAATGTCAAGTGTAAGGCATTCGCACACATCTCCAAGGAAAACAGACATAAAGTCCACTCCATACATATTTGTTGGCTATTCAGATGCAGAATTTGGGTACAAGTTGTGGGACCCAGTGAACGAGAAGATGTTCAAGAGCAGAGATGTTGCGTTCCAGGAAGACCAGACAATAGCAGATTTTGAGAAGTCTGCAAAGTCTAGAGATGTCATCACTCCAGACTTGTTCTTATCTCCCAAGCCATCACAAAATGCTAGATGTGATGATGTGCAACAAGAAGTGCCAAAGTTACAGGATCCTATGCCAGAAATTGAGAATCATGAGAAAAGAGATGAAGACCAGGATGAAAAAGGTGTTAAGGGGAGTAACCCCCTCAACCAGAGGCAACTGGGCATCAGTTGTGGAGATCTAGAAGAGCTGTCGTGCCATCAACCAAATATCCCGCTTCTCAATATATTTTGATTACTGGTGAGAGGGAGCCTGAGAGTTTTTTCGAAGCAAAGAGTCATACAGAGAAAGATTACTGGATGCAAACCATGAAGGAAGAGATGAGTTCTTTGCAGAAGAACCACACGTATGAGCTTGTTCCACTTCCAAGAGGCAGAAGAGCATTGAAGAACAAATGGGTGTATAAGTTGAAGAAAGATGGTAACGGTAAACTATTGCAGCATAAAGCTCGCTTGGTGGTTAAAGGTTTTAGGCAGAAGAAGGGAATTGACTTTGATGAGATCTTCTCTCCAGTTGTGAAGATGACTCTCATTTGAGTAACTCTGGGATTAACAGCTCAGTTGAATCTGGAGGTAGAACAGATGGATGTCAAGACTGTATTTCTCCATGGTGATTTGGAGAAAGAGATCTCCATGGAGCAACCAGAAGGATTTGAAGTCAAAGGAAAACAGAATCTAGTCTGCAAATTGAAGAAGAGTCTCTACGGCCTGAAGCAGGCACCAAGACAATGGTACAAGAAGTTTGATTCATTCATAGTGGATCACGAGTACAAAAGAATAATAGCAGACCAATGTGTATACTTCCGAAGGTTTTCAGATGGAAACTTTATCATCCTACTGTTGTATGTCGATGATATGCTGATCATTGGATAGGATACTGCTATGATCAACAAGTTGAAAAATGACTTGTCGCGGTATTTTGACATGAAGAATTTAGGCCCAGCACAGCAGATTTTGGGCATGAAGATTGTTCGTGACAGGAAAGCCAAGAAGATATGGCTGTCACAGGAGAAATGTGTTGAACAGGTGATTGAAAGGTTCAATATGAAAGATGCCAAGCCAGTTAGCACACCACTAGCCAACCATTTCAAGGTGACAAAGCATTCATTTCCCACGACCAACTCTGAAAGGAAATAAATGGAGGCAATCCCTTATTCTTCCACAGTAGGAAGTTTAATGTATGCAATGGTGTGTACCTGGCCAGATATAGCTCATGCAGTTAGCGTTGTAAGCAGATTCCTTGCCAATCCAAGAAAGAAGTATTGAAAGGCGGTCAAATGGATTCTTCGGTACTTAAAGGGAACTTCAAAGATATGTTTCCACGACCAACTCTGAAAGGAAAGAAATGGAGGCAATCCCTTATTCTTCCATAGTAGGAAGTTTAATGTATGCAATGGTGTGTACCTGGCCAGATATAGCTCATGCAGTTAGCGTTGTAAGCAGATTCCTTGCCAATCCAAGAAAGAAGTATTGAAAGGCGGTCAAATGGATTCTTCGGTACTTAAAGGGAACTTCAAAGATATGTTTATGTTTTGGGGGAACTAAACCAATTTTGGAGGGTTTTATAGAT